GAAGAAAGAAGCGAATTGCAGTAAGTACTTTACGGCTTTCTTGTCAAGCATGCAAAGTATAATAAAATAAATAATCTCTCTTCTTGTCAGGAGCATAAATCAAGAATATTTCCTCACTTTTCGCTTGAAAAATGTAGACAAAACAACTTCACTATGTGAAAAATTAATGATATTGGAATATTCATTTATGATCATATATTCATTTTGCCACGTACGAAAAAACCTGCTCAACGCCTTGATGAGAACATGCATGTCAACGATTTTGAAGAAAACGAAACGAAACCAGCTAACATCTTCCGATGAAATTATCCTTTCAAACGATATTAGATCTTCATTCCGGAAATTTGCCGAGAATCATCAATTACCTTCAAACAAATTCGATGTAGCATTAAATGGCAAATTGGAGTAGCTTGTCAACAAGATCTAACTCGATTCGCAAGGAAGCACACTCTTGACGCCCTCGGAATAAAAGGTAAAGGTAAGCAAACACATGCAAGAAGAATCTTCTGCCCATACAAAAGAAAAATAAAAAGCGGAAAATTGAGAAAGCCTTGAACAGCGGAGAGCGTGTAAAATGTATCATGAATGAGATTCAATGTTCAACGTGCTTTATTATAATGTATAGAAGCCGGATAGACCAGAAAAACGGAGTTTCAAACGATTCGGAGAATTCTGTTCCTGAAGCACGCTCTCCACAGAACGGCGACTGGGCAAAATCTGTCGTGTAGCGCTACTGACATCTTAAGGCAGTAAAAGTATAGTCCCTTAATGGCCAGATCCTTGCCTGATATAGGACTAATAGAAGTTTGAGAATTGAGGCTATATATACGTCTGAAGGTTTTTACATTATTTTATTGATATATAGTTGTTCTTTGTTGCTGCTACGTTGCCTTACACCTTAAAATTCAACATTCAAACGATATTATATTTGAACCATATCTTAAAAGTTACCGAAATATTTTTGTTAACAATATTTTTAGTTCAATCTTCCAACTAAAAGTATATTTTTGATGTATCGCCATAAGAAAGAGGAAATTTTTCATCGCCTGCAGTAATTCATTAATAAAAACGCCGAAAACGCATGCAACTGATTTTTCAAGTTGAAATAAAATAAAACATTTCATGCCTATGGGAGTAGTTGACATGCAGACTGTTAATCACCTCGTTTTTTTGCCCAGTTAAGTACGAATTCGCATATCTCCGACTCCGGGGCCATAAAAAACATTTGAATATATCGATCATAAAAGAAATAATATGAATTCTAAGTGATTTACAATCGCTGTAACTAAACTAAAGGCCCGTCACTATAATCTTAGAGATGTTATGAGATATATTCCCAACTATAAATCATTAAAAATTAATCGTCAACGCCTAGGCTATTGTAATTTACATTATAGCTACTTTCAAATTCATGGAGCAGGTTGTTACGATTAAACAATGAAGCCCGACTTCTAAACTGCACATATGTCTGTGCTCGGAGATTGTGAAAACGATCAATTTCTAAATAAATTTCTAATGCGAAAGATTATATCGCATTTAAGGGGTTACTCTAAATTATTCTTGAGATTAATTACGCGGACAGCATTCTAATGTATAAAATCAACAATTGGGGAGAGGAGCTAGGGGTTCTCTTTATATACAGATGCGATATCACACCTTTAAAAAGAACAGACTATACTAATAAACTGACCTAAAAGAAAATCTTCCGGTTAGAGGGAAGGTTCTTCAATGCAAATGTATGTAACTGCCTCTTTGCACAAACAGACCTCTCATCACGGAACAGAGACGAGCATAGCAATTTGCGGTGAGTGATGTGAAAGATATGGATAAACTCACAGTCAGAAACTCGGAGAGAAAAGAATATAGCTTTAAACGACGAGGTTCATAGAGCACAGCATGGCTCTTTGAACCTCTGTGCTGTATGAACCCCCTAGTTTTGAGATGAATTATTGCAAACCAAGAGAAGTACAAAAATATGCGTCAAAAAGCTTGTTATGGTCCAGGACAGATTAAGGATTTAAACGCAGAGGCGGTATGGACACGCTTGTTTAAATGAAATATAGCAATATAAAAACAGCTCTTTTTCATTCACTCGCTTAACGATATTTTGGGACGTACTGGAAAAGGGACTGTCGTGTGTGACACGTATTGTGATAGATATAGTCCCGTAGTATAGGCATGAATGAAAAACGATCAGACCAATTTACATATTCAATATAGCTAATGATTTCAATGCGGATTGAATTAATCTAAAACAAAGTCACATTATTAAAACTTATATTCCCAACTATAAATCATTAAAAATTAATCGTCAACGGCTAGGCGATTGTAATTTACATTTAGCTAATTATCAATTTCATAGAGCAGGTTGTGGCGAAGCCAGCCCGAATTTTAGTCATGCCAACTGCAAATATGTCTGTGCTCGGAGATGTGAAAAACAATCAATTTCTAAATAAATTTCTAATGCAAAAGATTAAAATAATTAATTCGCATTGAAGGGGTTACTGCAACTTATTCGTGAGATTAATTAGGCGGACAGCGTTCTAATGGCAGATAAAATTAACAATAGTCTGTATAAAGGTTATGTAAAATAAAAATGAACGATGCTGCTTGTAAGCGCTAAGGATCTGGAATGAAACACAGTATAGAAACTCTCTTTTGTTAAAATATTTTGGGTTGATGTTGCGGGGGGGGGGGTTCTCTTTGTATACAGATGCAATGTCACACCCTTTTATAGAAAGATCAGACGATGCTAATAAACTCGCCTGAAAGAAAATTTTCCGGTTATAGAGGAAAGGTTTTTACCCTCTAACCGGAAATGTATGTAACTGCCTCTTTGCATAAGCAGATCTCTCATTACGGAATAGAGACGAGGATAGCAATTTGCAGTGCGTGATGCGAAAGACATGAATAAACTCACAGTCCAAAACCCGGAGAGAAAAGAATATATACCTTTGAACGACGAGGTTCATAGAGCACAGCGTGGCTCTTTGAACGTTCTCTGTGCTGTATGAACCCCGTAGTTTTGAGATAAAAGTAAAAAATCTTGTTATGGTCCAGAATAGCATTAAAGATTCAAACGCAGAGGCCGTATGGACACGCTTGTCTAAATAAAATATAATAATATAGAAACAGCTTTTTTTCACTCACTCACTCAACAACTTACTTAAACTATCCGGAAAAGGGACTGTGGTGTGTAACACGTATTGTGATAGATATGCAAAGAATATAGCAGTTTATTTGTTGGAAGCTATTAATCTACTTTTTCCATAAAAAAGGCATAACAATAAATAATGGTGTATAAGTATAATCCCAGCCTCTTACCCAGGCATCTTTTTCTTAAAATGTGGTTTTAATTGATTCAATCGTTTGCATAATTAAGCATCCCCGACCGCTCGCTCAGCCGAAGATCTGGTATATAAAAACTGTAGTCGGTACGAAGCTGGTAAAATCCTGTATTAATTACAATTAGGCTAATTCGAGCTATCAAATTCAACTATATTTATTATTATTGCTACGACTATAGTTTCCAATTCTACAATGTTTACGAGTTACGACGTTTCACTGTTTCACAAGTTAAACTTAGTTTGAAAGAACTGATATCCCAGTCAAACGAAAGTGATTTATTAGGCAGTAATCACTTAAGCTGATTATTGAAGATGGCAGCCAGTGAAAGGACTGGTCAAAGTGGGCAAGGAAGAAATATAATGCAGTAATTTCATAAATTGTGTGCTATAAAAACAATGAAAGAGCGGAAAAACGGTCTGAAATTATTTCGAAGTGAAAACTATGTTGTTGGAAAATGTCTTCACCTCTCCTTCGCCTGACAGCGTGTAACCTGGGACTTTACTAAGGCAAACATGAGATAAATATAATTCTTTGCATATGCCTGTTTAAATTTTGGTTGGTTACAGTCGGTACTATAAACAAACGCTTTATTTACAAATTTGATCGCTAGCTATATATCTCTTAAACCGATGAATTTTTTTAGTTTAGTGTTTCGTTTAATAGGCAATATTTTTCATTTTATCACTGCCCATTTTACTTCCATCACTCCAGAAATTAGCTATCAATTTACACTAAAATTAGGTATGTCTATATAATATACGAGAGGCGCTACTGCAAATGGATGGAAAAGACGGATGAACGACACACTTGAAAGACATTGATGAAAACGCAGTCAGAGGCTCAGAGAGGACGAATATACCCTTTAAACTCTAGGGTTCATATAGAACACAGTTTTGCTCTATCTGTGCTGTATGAACTCTCTAGTTTTAAGATAAATTATTACAAAGCAACAGAAGTTGAAAAATACACAAGTCGAAAACCTTGTTATGGGAATATGGTCTGAGTTAGCACTAAGGAATAAACGCAGAGGCAATATGGACAGGTTTGTTAAAATGAAATATAATAATATACCTAGAAACAGCTGTTTTTTCATTCAGTTACACAACGACTCATGCACTTATACAAAAAGTTTGGAATCGCGGTATAAAGGTCGACATGAGCAGCAAGACCCTTCAAGACACATCTGACGATGATGAAAGTTAGGAGGACTTGAAATTTCATTTAAATTAACAAAGGTTTTTTCGATGTTAATTTTTATTTTGAAAATCAAATAGATGAAAAACAAAGTCGAAAATATTCACCTAAAATATAGTTCCGTAGTAAACGGTAGTATAGATATGATTGAAAAACAATCAGACAAATTTGCGGATTCAGTATAGCTAATGATTTCAATGCGGATATATTATCCAGAATTATTCATGTCACATCATCATGGGCACGCTGTCTTTACTTACGTTGATATATAGGCTATATAAACGAAGGGAGTACTAAATTAATTTAAAACAAAGTCACATTATTAAAACTATTAACTTTTTGTAAATTTGTAAATATGATTTATAAACAAAATAAGGAAAACAGTTTGGTCTTAATTAATTAAAGCTTGTGTTTTCCAACACTAACAGTAAATTAAAACAAGTGTAAAATCAGTTATATATTCAGTTTCAATATGTCTGGCTTACTAAGCATTTGTGCGTTAGTCTTCATCTCAAGAATACTCCAGCCGGGTGAATGCTCAGTCGCCGAGGCCTTATTTCGCAAAATTGATGGCAAATATTTAGCGAATTATGTCATCGAAAAAAAACACACAGAAACCGAGTTAGAATGCAGTATGCATTGCGTTGCTCATGGATCATGTGTGTCGGTTAACTACAAAACATCTGGAATCGGTAAAGGTCGATGTGAGCTCAACAGCAAGACCCTCAAAGACACATCTGACGATGATGAAAGTACGAGAAACCCCGACTTCAAACATCTTTATATAATCGAAAAGGTTAGACAACAATTATAATCTTTTTTCTAAAGATATATAAATGTATACGAATTCATTAGTTTTAAAAAAATATCCGTCTTTCAATAGGAATTGCCTGAGTGATGCGTTTTTACGACATAGTCTTTTTTTATAGAAACCAATTACAATATCCACCCAACATTCGTCACAAAATGTCTCCACAGGTATGACAATATATTGTTCAAAAAAAATCAAAAGTTTTTCCATCTCTTGTACACTTTTTGCACCGCAGGAACATAACTAAACATTAAATAATGCAGTTCGCTGCACACGAACAAAACTGTGGAATATTCGTATGAATATTCAACAACTTTTATTGAGTCACATAAACGTGACAGTTTTTGAGATCTCAGGAAATATTTCCCTATCCGGTGAATAACATATATATATTTTTCATAAATTTCACTCTAAAGGTGCAATACGGCTATATGCGAAAAAATCCGTCTTCGTAAGATTCTTTCAATTTGCTGCATCTCTATCTTCTGAGTTTTGTAACCTTTCTATATAAAGGTTTTAATACATTATAAAATTATTTCGAATAACAGAAAGACTTAGACGACAATTGTGAGCTTGGAATATATAGAGTTCTTGATGGAAGAGCATTCAATAATTTATCATAAAACTACAATTTTCTATGTTGCTGATACCCTCGGCATTAACTGTTCACAAAGTCACACCGCAGCAACATATATATAATTGACATAATTATGTGGAAAGGAAAGATTGCTCAGAGACAAAGAGGTGTTAATGGTCAGATTAGTGAAGAATAACTTATTTAATACATATTTTGTCCGCCGATACAAAATCACGAAAATGTGGTTTTAGTTTGGCCATTCACAATATTAATCACTTTTTCTTCCAAGCTTGACAGTTTGGGTGAATAATTAATGCAGTAATAATCTTAGTGTCAATCATTTTATTCAATCTCGACTTCTCAGGTAAACAGTGGGTTTTGGTAAACGATGTAAAGTTTACGTATCCTAAAAGCTGAAGCGAAGCTAAATTTAACCATAAAAAACAGGTGCTTTAGAAAGTTGCAAGCTTTTATGTCAATCAATTGTGTTTTATATTCCGCGCGGTCGAGCATTTTAAGCATTACGTCAGAGAAAGCTTAATTCGATTAAAATAATATGGAATTTAGTTAAGTTGTATAATATTGCTCACGGAGGTAATGTTTCAAAATTATACTAGTCGTTGATGATAAATATTTTAAGTTGTGAACATTTTTAAGTATTGATCGATTGAGCAAAAGGCCAACTCGACTAGTGCGTCAACGCCTTGAATAAACAAGATATTAGAGCTGTAGCGAGCTTCTAAGAGCAACCCACAGTTTACACTGACAACGCCGATTGGCTGGATAAGGATCATACCACTCTGGTTGATGACGTGAGCAAGTTTCGCTCAACCTTTACTATAAAAGGGCGCGCACAACACTAGAACCTTCAGTGGACCAACGGTGTAAAAATCATATGAAACATTGAAGAGGCTCAACAGACAAGAACAGAAAAAAAAGATCCGACGAAGGTCCAAGAGAAAGAGCCGATCAAGAAGAGAACATTTAAGAACAGTAGAGGTTTAAAGGGTCTTAATTTCGAGTGGAATTATACTGTTTATACACGCTTCAAATTCAAGCCAGGAACAGTTGATGGAAAAATGAGTCAATTATCGGTCTCCAGCAGGTCCTATTCCCGGCATTACCATCCTATACACATCAACCACACTTGCTCTTGTCAAGCTCAGTGGCAAGAAATGCATCGCAAAAGCGTAGGTTCGTTTCCTGCAGGTGGACCTATGGTTGACTCATTTTTCCATCAACTGTTCCTGGCTTGAATTTGATATGTGTATAATTCCAGTAATCCACTCGAAAGTAAAACCCTTGAGAACCTCTAGAATTTACCAACATCGAGTGAAGTGCCAAAAATCATAATCGATTTAAGAACAGTAGTTTCATAATTGTAAAAGATCTCCACCTCGCGTATAGAAATTAAGACTTATTAGCAACTTTATCCTGATTGACAGTGTGGTGATGGTTATTGAACATGTTTAAATGCAGTTGAACAATTAATGATCTTTATTCTTAATTGATCTGTTCGTGTCATTGAAATTCAATAAATGTTGATGAATTTCCTTTCGCCTAATAACAGCTGGTCTTCGCAGTGGCCTGATCTTGGGCTATGCAGAGTAAATTACACGGATAAATTTTGCATTAAATATAGCTTAAAACAGCGCTATTGCATGGTTATGGATTTACTACCTTGGATGCGCCACTGGATCTTCGGGCATTCTCAAAGGGGATATACAGCGGATTCCATTTGACTGCAAAACAACAATATTTAAAATTTCACATGCACTGTTTCCAAGACATGGGCGGAGCGTTCCATTTGTGCTTTAACATATAGTTGCAATGTTGTTGAAAGAAAGTGCTTTAAACAAAGTGCTTGTGTTAAAAGAAAGTGCTTTCCCATTACTGTAGGATCGCCCTTTCGTTTGGCTTTCCACATTTTAAAAGTTTCAACTATGCAAACCTTCAGCTACTAAATTCATTATTTACATAAAATAATTTCTTAAATCTGATTGATTTAGAGCAGCGCAATTTTTAGGAAATCCCAGTACTGATTTCTTTAAGATGTTTTTAAAAATGCTCCTGAGTGTCATAATTGTTGTGTCTTGATATGTGTCTTGATTGTATCTTGTAAAAACGTTGAAAAAGTTCTATTTTGACACGATTTGAAAACAGCATGCGACTGATAAATTATTTATCCTATAATTATGTAGCACGTGTGGATAAATTTTTTATGTATGATTTATTATTGATGGGTAATAGCATAGATTCCGGTACAATTTGGAGAAACATGCACTCGTGAGTTTTCAAAGACTTCAAAGGTCTCTAAAAACCCACTCGTGCATGTTTTACCAAATTGTACTCATAACCATGCTATTACCTATATATATACATATACTAGCTTCACATGTTGCAAATCACAGTTTCTACCATGGTATTGGGTTTCGTTCTCATCTATAGTCCGAAAAAATACATTAAGCAAAAAATGAAATACATTCACGGCTCATGCAAAGCCATTAGTATATGTCAAACGGAGAGCGTAATTTCAAGAAGTATATGTTACGCGCGCCATCCATTTTATATGTACACTGTAGAAAGTTTGAACATAAAAAAGGGACCCTACTGGAGGCGCTGTGAAAAGGCTTCTCAAGTTGTGAGATATCGACTCTAGTAAGAATAGACATTTAAGTCACATTGTTATTTATAGAATAAACGTAAAATAAGAGTGAGGAACTTTAAAGAACAGGAGAGAGGGAGTCGTTGTTGTAGAATTGAGACTCTTGATTCGAATTAATATTAAATAAATGAAAATAATTCTAGCAACTAGCGAGTATAAATCTAAATGGATTAATATACAATGTAGTCTACAGCAAATGTTTAGCACTAAGAATGGACAAGACATGCTCAGTTACGAAATTTTTAATTTTTACCGGCCATTTTGTCATTTGACAAAATTATTTTCAAGCTCGTTCCAGAAGTAACGAAAAACTTTGTCTTAATTTACAGGCACTCTAAAAAATTTCCACAAATCTTGCACGAGTTTGCGAACGAAGCATCCTTCTGCTGACAGTGGAGTGTATTCCATAAAACCTCAAGGACTCAACCTCACGGTTCAAGTGTTTTGTAACATGACTTTAAAGAATGGTGTTGGTTTGACAGAGATTGGACATGACAGTGAATCAAAAACAGTTGTAGATGGATATGAAGAGGCAGGGTCTTACAAGAGAAAGATTAAATATAACATTTCCATGGAGCAGATTGTCGCGATTATCAACCAGTCGAAGAATTGTGAGCAATTTATAAAATATGAATGTCTTCATAGCAGATTATTGATAGATTCCTATGGTTGGTGGGTATCACGTCAAGGCTCAAAGATGAATTACTGGGGTGGAGCGGCAGTCGACAGTGGAAAATGTGTCTGTGGAATGACCAACAGCTGTGCAGGTGAAAAAAAATGTAATTGTGACGAGAATGACCCAACATGGCGTGAAGACAGTGGATACCTGACAGACAAGAGCACGCTGCCTGTTACTGAGTTGAGATTCGGCGATACTGGTATATATTACGGCAAAAATGAGCGTGGTTATCATACACTGGGTAAATTACGTTGCTGGGGATAAGAGATGAAACATCAAACCTGATGATTCAAGAAATCTTTTGACTTTATAAGCCTAACTTTATAAAACACAATAGAACCGTAACTCGAAATAACTTTTTTTAGTTTTATTCTATCTACATTTCAACTAGCTTGTAGTCATCATGGGGGATAGATTAGGGTAATATTACAAATTCTGGGATATAATTATATAGTTAAGAAGGAGGAACTCGATAATGTCGTTGAAATATGATCAGTCCTTTGGAAGCCCTAGCAACGTGATTAAAATCTGGTTTTCGTCGGCGTATTACGAAGATCAATGGTCTGACCTATGAATTATCTTGCAATTTTAAAAAATAAGTTGTGTGAAGTCATTGTTTATACTGTTTGTGTCATCAGCTGTAAGTTCCATCAACGATCTGATATGTTGGAAGTGTTCACGTGAGTTTATATAAGCGTAAGTCTCTGCATGAGCTTTCACGTATGAGATTTACGCTCATATAAAATGATGTGAACACTTTGAACAAATCAGGTTGATGATGGAACTTGTTGTGTTGTATAGAAATATTCAGTGGTTTCCGTAACTATAAACCTTACTTTGATTATCAATATTCATTAAACTAGACATGTCATAAATACAAGATTACTCGCCATGCATGTTGTACATGAACACGGAATATTACAGACCACGGTTAATAGAATGTACATGGTTTGGAGACTAAATAAAAGTACAATACAACTCATTAACTATGTTATTGTCCACGTTTATGCAAAAAATGGTTCCTTTCTCGTCACGTGTCTATTGTATTTTAGCCAAACGTACCAATGGCATTCGTCTTGCTAAGCTCATCAACCTTGACTTGAAAAATATGTTAATTATATAAGATTGCTATTGGTTTATCTGTGCAAAGTACAATAGACATGTGATGCGAAAGGAACAATTTTTTGCATAAATGTGCCTCAACATAGTTAATGAGTTGTATTGTAGTTTTATATGGTCTCCAAACCATGTATATTTTATTAACTGTGTACAGACCCAACTCCCAAGTATTCGTAATTAAATGATTCTTATCTATTTATTGCTTAATGGGTAACTGTCTTAAGCTTGCTTGCAATACGAGGGAATTATTCATGTTATTTTATTTTAGTATAATTACAAAGGCAATTATTCGAAATTCTGGTCTGTTTGAGCGAATTTGGAATATCAAGTAATAATCACTTAAGCAGATTTTTCAATATGGCGGCGAGTAGTAGACTTATATAAAAATTCTTAAAACATCTAAATAAGCCGATGCAGTAGCGTGCAAATTTGGGCGATATCGAGAAACGAATGTGCAGTATTGTAAATAAACGCCTTGTTTACATTTTGAACGTTATATTATAATTATACTATTATATTATGAAAACTGTCTGCATAATCAACACAATATTAGTTCGCTATGGTTCTTAATAAAAAAACTAGAGTTTTTTTTCTGAAAAATCTGAGAGATTAGAAATTTGAGCAATTTTTAAAATAATAGCGCCTGACTCGCCTTGTTATGATCAGAACCGATGCAGACCCGAAGGGACATAAGCTTTGACAGGTAGTGTTTCTTGCCGCACGGCCAGACGACCTCAAAAGTGTTCCGCTCGTTCCAACTTGCATTTCTTTGCAAATACTTGGCCGATTTGAATGAAAATTAAACCCGTATTTTAAAGATAAATTGCCCTTAGTTTAAAGATTTTTCTTACATTGGCACAATTTTCATGATTATGAATTGTCCATTACACACATTGCCAATCCAAAGTATCGTTGCGTTATGCGCCCTTTTGAGATCGCATCAAGTCTCCAACCGCTTACAAATAAAATTAACCGACCAACATGACAATTAGCCGCTTACAGCGAAACAGCAATTCATTTAATTGCAATGGAAAGACCCAAAAAAGCAAACTGTATGAGCGGGAAAGCAGGTTGAAAGTAAATTAGAAAAGGGTAAGAAACATCAATTTGAAAATGTATAAAACAGAACACAATCCGAATACCAACATCTTGGAAAATCTAATATATAGACTAAAGAAAGTGAGATCAGTGAATGTAATTAACATTGAAGTAAGAAGTCAAGAAACGTCGTGGACCGACACAATGGTAAAGGTTCGTACAAGAAAAAGATTAGATATAAACCAGTCCAATGTTTTGAGTATGAATGTTATGATAGCTTAGCGGCAGTCGACAGTGGAAGATATTCATGTGGAATGACAGCTGTGCAGGTGGAAAAAAATGTAATTGTGAGAAGAATGTCAAAATATGGCGTGAAGACAGTGGATATCTGACAGACAAGAACACACTGCGTGTTATTGAACTGAAATTGAGCTGTACAGGTGGAGGGTGAAATTTAACTACGGCTTTCAAATCTTGGCTCAGCTTTTATATTTATATTTGCCACGATATTTGCCATATTTTCTTTAACGTAAAGTAACTAGCTGCTAGAACGGTATCATAACTAGTAAGTATAACGGCTAAAACATGCTTACATGATATTCATATATTCACGTTCTGAATCATTATATGTGAAAGCTCATGCAGAGATTATACGTGACCTAATACGTCTCATCATGAGATTATACGTGATCTATACATCTCATAATACGTGAAAGCTCATGCAGAGATTATACGTGACATCATACGTCTCATCATGAGATTATACGTGATCTATACATCTCATAATACGTGAAAGCTCATGCAGAAATTATACGTGTCCTCATACGTCTCATCATGAGATTATACGTGATCTATACATCTCATACGTGAAAGCTCATGCAGACATTATACGTGACATCATACGTCTCATCATGAGATTATACGTGATCTATACATCTCATACGTGAAAGCTCATGCAGAGATTGAAGGCCGGTTTACACTAGCAAAGTTTCTGTGCGCACAGTGACGTCATCGTGTATGAGCACAGTGTTTGAGCAGGACTTCGGAAAACACACTGTCCAAGGTCAAAGCACAGTATTTCCTGTTGCACAGACAACAGGTCAAAAATGGACGCTTGTAAACGGAAAGCGCTTCTTTGTTTTTTTGTTTTTATCAGCAGAAATGAATGAAACTTCGGTAGACATTTTGATTTAGTTGTAACTTTTCCGCCACTGATACAGCTTGAGTTTCCCACGCAATAGTCTCGCAAAACCCACGAGTGGCGGCTTCTTTGAAGTTCAGTGTTCTAAGTTGAACACGCTGCACTTCGTTCAAAGCCCTTCAAAGTCTTCGCTCAAAGTCTTTGAAAGATTTTAAAATTTACCTACGACTTTCAAAGCTTGACCTCTTCGAAAGATTTTTAAGATGATAATTCGCTGCGAAAAACTATGATCGCTTCCCACCTATAAATTATGACCTATCAGTTCGCGCGAATAAATTCGCTGAGTGGGTTTTAAGCATTGCTACATATAAACACAGACAGCACCGTTAATATCATTGTCACTGTTAATTTTTTGCGCCTTCGTGAGTATGGCTTTTTGAGAATTTCTCAATATGATTTATAAGATAATATTTCATTATTTTATAATGATAGTTGGTAAAAAGTTGGTATGAAAGTCCCCTAGTGGAAAACGGGCTTTAAGCATAACTATATATACACAGACAGTTCTTTTAATATCGTTTTCATATTATTTTCACTATGAATTGAGGATTTGTCAACAAGATTTATAAAAAAAAAAGAAAAACAGCGCGGTTTCAATTAAAGCACACGTTTCACGACGCCAAGAGTATTTTAAAACAGGTGGAAAACTCTTACATGATGCACTATTGATTTAAATACGAGACGAAGAGCCATATGTTCAGTTTCAGAATGGCTGTCATACTAAGAATTTGTGCGTTAGTTTTCACCTCAAGAATACTCCAGCCGGGTGAATGCTCAGTCGCCCAGGCCTTCTTTCGCAGAATTGATGGCAAATATTTAGCGAATCATGTCATCGAAACAACTCATGTTGAAACTGAGTTAGAATGCAGTATGCATTGTGTTGCTCATGGAACATGTGTGTCGGTTAATTACAAAACATCTGGAATCGGTAAAGGTCGTTGTGAGCTTAATAACAAGACCCTCAAAGACAAGTCTGAAGATGATGAAAGTATAAAAGACCCTGACTTCAAACATCTTTATATAATCAAAAAGGTTAGAAAACAATAATCATTATATAAACACATATGACCCCAGCAGTTTTAAAAAAATTATCCACTTTTCAACGTGTCTCAATATATCTAATATTCTCTAAGGGAAAGTTTAATTATTGCTACTCAACCCGAAATTGGAATTGCCTGAGTGATGAGTGTTTACGACATAGTCTTTTTTATATAGATAGCTTCGAAACCAATTACAAGAAACACCCAACATTCGTCACAAAATCTCTCCACAGGTATGAAAATTTGTGGTTTAAGCATGAAATATAATAATGAAAATACGGGCTTGAAAAAAAGATCAAAAGTTTCTCCAACGCTTGTACATCTTTTGCATAACATCAACGTAAGTAAACATTAAACTAGAAATACATGCATGCAGCAACCCCTCGCTATTTCAAACCAAATACACAATTTCCTGAGCTAACCTGACCTAAACTTATATTTTGAAATGACACAAAACTCAAATCAGTCTTATTATATTTTACCGAATATATTCAATACAAAAATAATCAAAAAGCTAGTGTAAACATTACCCGTTCAATTTTGCCGCATTATATACCATGGCAGCTATTAAGTAATGCTTTAAAATCGATTCAAGTTTCAATCCATTCAAGTTTCAAACGATTAAAACAGTAGCTACAAAATCTTCAGAGACAAAGAAAAACCCCTCTCAAATGTTATTTTAATTTGTAATTTGTTTTATACTTTAATATAGTGTGTATTTTTAATATCAAAATTCAAATTACACTTTTAAAAACACTTTTTGACGTTAAAGCAAAGGTGTAATAGCCTTTCACAGGTTTATGCGTTTGTATAAAAAGCCGCAATTAAACAAATAAACGACATACAAAGCTGAAAGTTTTACAAATACAGCTTATCCTTACCGCGAAGCAAATACGAAATAAACAAAGTATATATGCACGTACCCTTTGAAAGCATTTATTACTCCGGCGTCAGCGACGGAGTTGAAAATTCGCCTCGGTTTTGTTTTTGTTTTTTTTTTGTTGTTTTTTTTAATTTTCGTCGTCGCAAGTCTGTAATGGCGCGAAATATATTAGTTATTTATAATGTGTATGCGACCGTATTTATCTACGTTCCAGTCTTGTCTCCCAAGAGTTGTGGTGCACAGCTTTGGTAAATTTTCCGATGCGCGATTCGATTTCGCTCGCATGATACGGCAATTCCTTCAAGAGCAACAAATAAACCGTTCTTTTCATGCTTTTCGACTAAGTTTAGATTGAATTGGGGTAAGAATACATTTCATACATGTACATTCTGGTCCTATTTTGATAATATCGCTGCTATTTCGCCGTTTAACAAGATGATGTGGTCGTGTATGGGCGCGTTGACACGTCGTAGTTTGCACAGGATTGTTAATATAACTATATGAGCGCGAATCTCAAAGGCAAAGTGTAAGACAAAGCGAATATATCATGTGGTTTATTCTATGGTTTATTTACATTTTTGAACAATTGAACTTTTATACTTTTTAAAGTACGATGTGCTTCTGAATTTCGCGATCGAACATTTAGGTTCGCAAGGCATTTAAATGCGAATATGAACTGTATTGTTTATGTTCAGAAGCTCTATATTGAAGACTGGCACGTGCGCCGGAGTTAACGCCAGAACAGGCGTCTTGTTATGAATTAATTCACTTGATTATGAATTATTCATCTGACACGGCTTTGTCTTGACTGTATCCATGTTCATCTTAACTATCTGTCATGCTTCATATATCTTGTTCCTTCTCGTTTTATTTTGCACAAAGTTTATGAAACGCTTTTACAAAAAGGTTTACGAAATGACAGTTAAATTGTTGACTTTCTCATTGAAATACAAGCTTTCTGTCTTAGCCAATCGGAACGTTTGTTGATTACCAGTCGTTACTTGCGCATGCGCATAACTTACAAAACAACCCAACGTCGACCGTCCATGACATAGAATTTGCACAACTTTGGATTCAGCTATGTTCTCCCTGGCTCCGGGTGTAATTCCTAATCTCTGAGCGGAATTAGTACCCTCGCCTGCGCCCGCTCGGGGATAACGTCGTTCGCTGCACAGCAATAAAACCTTGGAATATTCATAAAGACGAAAAGATTTAATCAACATTTATTGAATTTCAGTTAAATTATTAGATTAATTGAGAATAAAGGTAATTTTCCACTGCGTTTAAAGATGTTCAATAACCATAACAAACGAGTTGATAATGACAAAGGAGTACTTTTCATATATTTCACTCTATTGCATGGTGCAATATAGCCTGCAACGCGGACTATATATTGGGGTTGATATAGTCTGCTAATCAGCGGCACAAAGCTTGTATGGTCACGTGAATGTTCGAATTATTTCCGGTATTATAAATATGATTATGTATATGATTTGCACGAAAATTGCATAATTATTTGTGACGACATGGCCGCGCTAATGTGCGTGCTGTGTTTCTCTGTGCTGGAAAAGAAAAATAAATAAATAAATAAATAAATCTTGTAAAAGAAAAGCGTTCTCTCGCCGAACTAGAAGATTTGGATTTCGTTGTCCAACCTGTTTCCAGACATATTTGTCGACCATGTCTCAGGCAAAGAATCACGCATCGTCAAAAGCTGGCGATTCTGAATCAAAAGCTATAAGATGACTACCTAGCTGAAGCCCGAGCAAATGGTGTAACAGTGAAGATGAAGCACCAGACGATGGCAATGCTAGTTCCAACGACTTGTTCTTCGAGAAGGTCAGCGAGGTGAGAAACAACTTGGAAGACTATAGTCTAGAGACTTCCCGTAGCCTGTGCCAGCACTAAAGAAGATATTCCTACCGGGTAAGAAAGCTTTGAGTGCCTCGACTTGCTCTCGATGAAGACTTTGGAAAAAAACAGCGTACAATGCGAATAGCTTCCGAAAAGTGCTCTCCTTCAAGCAAAGATGGTTCGATGAAGGACGCCATGTTCTTTGTGAAAATAATAAATATTTTGAAATTTTGATTATTTTGCATAATTATAAGCTAACCAATCAAAATGAGTCCCATAATTTCTCGGGAAACCCACGTGACAAATTGTGAGCTTGGAAAATATAGAATTCTTGATGGAAGGGCATTCAATAATTTACCATAAGACTACAATTTTATTATGTTTCTGATACCCTCGGCCAATGAACTCTATATATATTGAAGGCTCGCTCTAGTACATTGCGTAATCAAAAAGTGAAGCCAAACATGGCGGATCACGAAGGCTGGTTGGGTACCGAACCAGACCTCCACGCACGAGCGGTAAAAATTCAATATTGCGGCAACGTGTACGAGTTGAACTCGGTCAGTTTTGTAAACACAACACAAATATACGGCATAAGTTACCTCTCTAGAAAGAATAACATTGGCAGGTAAGGTTGTAACAAATTGTATGTATTCATTTTTAAAAACGTCGTATTTTAAAAACTTTGTACTGGTCCGAAATGTGAGTTTTTTTATTTTTCGTCAAGTTTATAATTCGTGTTTTGAATTTCCACGCGCAGTTGCGCATTTTACGCTTCGTGGAGGACTGGTTCGGTACCCAAGCAGCCTTCATGATCCGCCATGTTTGGCTTCACACCTTCAACTGGAGCGAGTCTTCCACATATATAGAGTTCACTGCCCTCGGCATTAACTGTTCACAAAGTTACACCGGGGCAACATAATTATGCGGAAAGGAAAGATTGCTCAGATTACTGACGATTAAATGGTTAATGGACCTTTTGCATAATAGACCAACTTTTGATTTAGGCAACAAAAAGGAAATTTCCGAAAATTGCATACTAAATTTAGTAAAATTATCAAGTTTGGCAGCAAAATATTGTAAAGTATGGAAAATATAGTCATGCGAAGTTCGCAATTTTGTATACTTTTTTACTACGGCCGGAAGTGTGAATTAAATTAGTTAAATGCTTCCGGCCGTTGTAAAAAGTATACAAAATTGGATACTTCGCATGGCTATATTTTCCGTAGTACTTGAAATTTTGCGGCCAAATTTGGCAATTATACTAATTTCGGTATGCTCTTTTTAGCTGTGGTGATTTATTTCCTTTTTGTTGCTTAGATAGTAAGTTGGTCTATCATGCAAAAGGTGCATTTTAAATGAGAAATACCTTAAAAACAACGCTATTGCATGGTTATGGATTTCCCTCGGATGCACCACTGGGTCTTCGGGCATTCTCAAAGGGGATATGATTTTTCAGAATTCATAGAATAGCCATCAAGCAAAACTTCGCGGGCGCAGAACTTATGCGCGTTTGGAAATCAATGCGATATTCTTTTTCATTTTCAATGTATGCAAACCTTTCTGCTGCTAAAGTCATATCTACTAGCTTCACATGTTGCAAATCACAGTTTCTACGATGGTATTGGATTTCGTTCTCATCTATAGTCCGAAAAAATACATTAAGCAAAAATGGGATACATTCACGGTTCATGCGAAGCCATTGGTATATGTAAGACGGAGAGCGTAATTTCAAGAAGTATATGTTACGCGCGCCATCGATTTTATAAGTACACTGTAGAAAGTTTGTAAATAAAAAAAGGGACCCTACGGGAGGCGCTGTGAAAAGGCTTCTCAAGTTGTGAGATATAGACTCTAGTAAGAATGGACATTTAAGTCACATTGTTATTTATAGAGTAAACATAAAATAAGAGGGGTGAACTTTATAGGACAGGAAACGAGGGAGTCGTTGTTGTAGAATTGAGACTCTTGATTCGAATTGATATTAAATAAATGAAAATAATTCAAGCAACTAGCGAGTATAAATCTAAATGGATTAATCTACAATGTAGTCCACAGTACACAAGAAATGTTTAGCACTAAGAATGGACAACACATCCTCAGTTACCAAATATTTAATTTCTACCCGCCATCTTGTCATTTGTCAAAATTATTTTGAAGCACGTTCCAGAGGTAACGAAGATGTTTGTCTTAATTTACAGGCATTCTAAAAAATTTCAACAAATCTTGCACGAGTTTGCGAACGATGTATCCTTCTGCTGACAGTGGAGTGTATTCCATCAAACCTCAAGGGCTCAACTTCATGGTTCAAGTATTTTGTGATATGACTTCAAAGAATGGTGTTGGTGTGACAGAGATTGGACATGACAGCGAAGCAAGAACTCTTGTAGATGGATATGAAGCTGCAGGTTCTTACAAAAGAAAGATTAAATACGACATTTCCATGGAGCAGATTGTCGCGATTATCAACCAGTCGAAGAATTGTGAGCAGTTTATAAAATATGAATGTTTTCATAGCTCATTATTGACATATTCCGATGGTTGGTGGGTATCTCGTCAAGGTTCAAAGATGAATTACTGGGGTGGAGCGGCAGTCGACAGTGGAAAGTGTTCATGTGGAATGAACAACAGCTGTGCAAGTGGAGAAATATGTAATTGTGACGAGAATGCCTCAACATGGCGTGAAGACAGTGGATACCTGACAGACAAACGTACGCTGCCTGTTACTGAACTGAGATTTGGCGATACATCTTATATAAGTGTAATTGGCCTAGATGAGCGTGGTTATCACACACTGGGTAAATTACGTTGCTGGGGATAAGAGATGGAACATCAAACCTGATATGATTAAAAAAATCTTTTGACTTAGACTATAAGCCTAACTTTATAAAATACAATAGAACAGTAACTCAAAAATAATTTTTTGTAGTTTTATTCAATCCACGTTTCAACTAGCTTGTATTCATCATCGGGATAGATTAGGGTAATATTACAAATTCTGGGATCTATATAGTTAAATATGATCAGTTCTTTGGAAGCCTTAGCACCGTGGTTAAGATCTGGTTTTCGTCGGCGTATTGTGAAGGTAAATGGTCTAACCTATGAATTATTTTGCAATTTTAAAAAATAAGTTGTGTTACAAGTCTTTGTTTATATTGTTAGTGTGATTATCTGTAAGTTCCATGAATGATCTGATATGTTTGAAGTGTTTACATGAGTTTATATAAGCGTAAATCTCTGCATGAGTTTTGACGTATGAGATTTACGCTCATATAGCTAAAATCATATGAACACTTTTAACAAATCAGATTGATGATGGAACTTGTTGTGTTGTATAGAAATATTTAGTGGTTTCCGTAACTATAAACCTTACTTTTATCATTATTCATTAAACTAGACATGTAATAAATATAAGACTGCTCGTCATGCTGTACTTTAACATAGAATATTACAGACCTAACTCCCAAGTATTTGTAATTAAAATTTTAGTAATTGTCATCTATTTATTGCTTAATGGGTAACTATCTTAAGCTTGCGTGCAATAAGATGGAATTATTCATGTTATCTTATTTTAGTATAATTACAAAGGCAATTATTGGAAATTCTGCTCTGTTTGAGCAACTTTGGAATATCAAATAATAATCACTTTAGCAGATTTTTCAATATGGCGGCGAGTAGTAGACGCGTATATAAAAATTCTTAAAACATCTGAATAAGCCGATGCAGTAGCGTGCAAATTTGAGCGATATCGAGAAACGAATGTGCAGTAATGTAAATAGATGCCATGTTTACATTTTGAACGCTATATTATAATTATTATACTGTTATATTATGAAAACTGTCTGCATAATCAACACAATATTAGTTCGCTATGGTTCTTAATAAAAGAACTGGGGTTGTTTCCAGAAAAATTTGAAACATTAGAAATTTGAGCAATTTTTAAAATAGCGTGATCCGCCTTGTTATGAGCAGAACCGATGCGCAGACGGCAGACCCGAAGGGACATAAGCTTTGAAAGGTAGTGTTTCTTGCCCCATTTGAATAAAAATCAAACTCGTATTTTAAAGATAAACTGCCCTTAGTTTAAAGATTTTTCTTACATTGACACAATTTTCATGATTATGAATTGTCCATACACACATTGCCAATCCAAAGTATCGTTGCGTTATGCGCCCTTTTGAGATCGCATCAAGTCTCCAACCGCTTACAAATAAAATTAACCGACCAACATGACAATTAGCCGCTTACAGCGAAAGAGAAATTCATTTAATTGCAAAGGAAAGATCCAAAAAAGCAAACTATATGAGCGGGAAAGCAGGTTAAAAGTAAATTAGAAAAGGGTAAGAAACATCAATTTGAAAAAGTATAAAACAGAACACAATCCGAATACCAACATCTTGGAAAATCTCATGATGAGACGTATGAGGTCACGTATAATCTCTGCATGATCTTTCACGTATGCGATGTATAGATCACGTATAATCTCATGATGAGACGTATGAGGTCACGTATAATCTCTGCATGAGCTTTCACGTATGAGATGTATAGATCACGTATAATCTCATGATGAGACGTATGAGGTCACGTATAATCTCTGCATGATCTTTCACGTATGCGATGTATAGATCACGTATAATCTCATGATGAGACGTATGAGGTCACGTATAATCTCTGCATGAGCTTTCACGTATGAGATGTATAGATCACGTATAATCTCATGATGAGACGTATGAGGTCACGTATAATGTCTGCATGATCTTTCACGTATAATGCATTATTCAGAACGTGAACATATGAATATCATGTAAGCATGTTTTAGCCGTTATACTTACTACCTACCGTTCTACCTACTAGTTACTTTGCGTGAGAGAAAATATGGCAAATATCATGGCAAATATAAATATAAAAGCTGAGCCAAGCTTTGAAAGCCGTAGTTAAATTTCTCCCTCCACCTGTACAGCCCAATTTTAGTTCAATAACACGCAGTGTGCTCATGTTTGTCAGATATCCATTGTCTTCACGCCATATTTTGTCATTCTTGTCACAATTACATTTTTTTCCACCTGCACAGCTGTCATTCCACACGAATATCTTCCACTGTCGACTGCCGCTAAGCTATCATAACATTCATACTCAAAACATTGGACTGGTTTATATCCAATCTTTTTCTTGTACGAACCTTTACCATTATGTCGGTCCACGACGTTTCTTGACTTCTTACTTTAATGTTAATTACATTCACTGATTTCACAGTTTGGCGGCTTTCTTTAGTCTATATATTAGATTATACGTGATCTATACATCTTATACGTGAAAGCTCATGCAAAGATTATACGTGTCCTCATACGTCTCATCATGAGATTATACATGATCTACACATCTTATACGTGAAAGCTCATGCAGAGATTATACGTGACCTCATACGTCTCATCATGAGATTATACGTGATCTATACATCTCATACGTGAAAACTCATGCAGAGATTAAAGGCCGGTTTACACTAGCAAAGTTTCTGTGCGCACAGTGACGTCAGCGTATATGAGCACAGTGTTTGAGCAGAACTTCGGAAAACACACTGTCCAAAGTAAAAGCACAGTATTTCCTGTTGCCCAGACAACAGGTAAGATATGGACAAACATTATAATTTTTTGACGTCTCTGCCACAGATACAGCTTGAGTTTCCCACGCAATAGTCTCGCAAAACGCACGAGTGGCGGCTTCTTTGAAGTTCTGTGTTCAAAGTTGAACTTCAGATCAGTGAGTTGAACACGCTGCACTTCGTTCAAAGCCCTTCAAAGTCTTCGCTCAAAGTCTTTGAAGAGTGTTTACATTTGCACACACTTCGTTTAAAGCATAATGTCGGCACAGAAACTTTGCCTTTGTAAACCGGCCTTAACGCTCATGTAAAATTATGTGAACACTTTCAACATATCAGATTTTACGATGGATCCCGGTGTGTTGTAAAAAAATATTCAATGGTTTCTGTATCTATAAACTTCACCTTGATTATCATTATTCATTATTTTCTCGCTGATTTGTTCCTTTGTAAAATACGTCGCCCCGCACTTTTAATAAAGCCCTGGGAACGAAGTTTGGTATGTATTCGATATCTATGCAACATTTTTAGGCATCACACTTTTTTAACTCTTTCATTTCTAGTAATGTTATTTTTACAATATTGAAAAATTTAACTATGGTTTTCAAAGCTTGACATGTTAAACAGCATGATTATTCATATATTTCAATATATTTTCACTTAATTGACTTTAACATTAAACAGCACAAAGTTATAAAATTGGATGGAAAATTGAGTTTAGGCGATTATGTTTTCAGCGTGCGACTAGTGCAACCAAATCCTGACATAACTGCACGTTTATAGCAATAATATTACGCTAAAAATTCTTGCCAAAGTATGAATAAAAACAACAACGCCATTGTATGACGAGATAAGTGTTCTTGATCAAACATGAGCAAACATTTTAAGCAATAAACACTGAATATTATAATGCCAATGAAATCTTCGTAATTAAAATTTTAATGATTGTTGTATATTAATTGTTTATTGGGTTGAGATTAGAGATTGTACGATTGTACGATCATGAGATTATACGTGATCTATACATCTCATACGTGAAAGCTCATGCAGAGATTATACGTGACCTCATACGTCTCATCATGAGATTATACGTGATCTATACATCTCATACGTGAAAGCTCATGCAGAGATTATACGTGACCTCATACGTCTGATCATGAGATTATACGTGATCTATACATCTCATACGTGAAAGCTCATGCAGAGATTAAAGGCCAGTTTACACAAGCAAAGTCTCTGTGCGCACAATGACGTCATCGTGTATAAGCACAGTGTTTGAGCATAACTTCGGAAAACACACTGTCCAAGGTCAAAGCACAGTATTTTCTGTTGCCCAGACAACAGGTCAAATATGGACGCCCGTAAACGGAAAGCGCTTCTTTGTTTTTTGTTTTTATCAGCAGAAATGAATGAAACTTCGGTAGACATAGTTTTTTTACTTTTCCGCCATAGATACAGCTTGCGTTTCCCACGCAATAGTCTCGCAAAACCCACGAGTGGCGGCTTCTTTGAAGTTCTGTGTTCTAAGTTGAACACGCTGCACTTCGTTCAAAGCCCTTCAAAGTCTTCGCTCAAAGTCTTTGAAACGTGTTTACATTTGCACACACTTCGTTCAAAACATAATGTGCGCGCAGGAGCTTTGCTAGTCTAAAACCGGCCTTAACGCTCATATAAAATTATGTGAACACTTTCAACATATCAGATTGTTGATGGAACTCGGTGTGTTGTATAAAAATATTCCGAGTTGTTTCCGTAACTATAAACCTTACTTTGATTATCAATATTCATTAAACTAGACATGTAATAGATTCAAGACTACTCGCCATATTGTACTTAACATACATACATTAATATTACAGACCCAAGTATTCGTAATTAAAATTTTAATGATTGTTATCCATTTATTGCTTAATGGGTAACTTAAACCTTAAGTCTTAAGCTTGCCTGCAATAAAACAGTGAATTATTCATGTTATTAATTTTGGTATAATTACAAAGGCGATTATTGGAAATTCTGGTCTGTTTAGGCAACTTGGGATGATCAAGTAGCAATCACTTAAGCAGATTTTTCAATATGAGTTTCCCACGCAATAGTTTCGCATAATTTCGGTTTCAATTAAAGCACACGTTTCACGACGCCAAGAGTACTTTAAAACAAGTGGAAGACTCTTACATAATAGACTATTGCTTTATAAATACGAGACGAAGAGCCATATGTTCAGTTTC